TTCATTTAGGCATTGAAAGGGGAAATGTGACCCAGTTGATGCTTTTGGACCTCTCAGTGGCTTTTGATACGATAGATCATAACATCCTCTTGGAACGCCTGGGAGAGTTAGGAATGGAGGCACTGCATTGCAGTGGTTCTGTTCCTTCCTCTCAGGCAGATTCCAGAAGGTGATGCTCGGGGACAGTTGCTCTTCAAAAACAGAGCTTAATTGTGGCGTCCCTAGGGTGCTATCCTGTCCCTGATGCTATTTAATATTTACATGAAACCGCTGGGGGAAATTATCCATAGATATGGGGCGGGGTGTTATCAGTACGCTGATGACACCCAAATATATTTCTCCATGTCTCGGTCAGCAGCCATGACTGCAGATGGCAATTCTCCCCTCAATCATTGTCTTGAGGTGGTAATGGACTGGATGAGGAAAAATCGATTCAAACTGAATCCAGACAAAATGGAGGTACTCACAGTAGGTGCCCCTAAACCAGGTATTGGGTTGCAATCTCATGTCCTGGATGGGGTCATACTCTCCTCTAAGGACTGTGTTCGCAGTCTCGGGGTGCTTCTAGACCCATTGCTTCACAGGACAGATCAGGTGAATGAGATGGTCAAGAGTGCCTGTTATCAGCTTCGGCTGATACGCCAGCTGCACCCTTTCCTGGAAACAAGGGACCTAGAAACTGTAGTACATGCATTGGTAACCTCATGACTCGATTTCTGCAATGCACTCTACATGAGGCTACCTTTATACCTGGTTTGGAAACTACAACTAGTACAAAATATGGCAGACAGGTTGATCACTGGTGAATCAAGGAGTGATCATGTTACACCTATTTTGAAATCTCTTCACTGGCTGCCTATTGGGTTCCAAGCACAGTATAAGGTGTTGGTGATTACTTTTAAAGCCCTACATGGCCTGGGTCCAACCTATTTAAGAGATCGCCTCCTTCCATACAATCCGCTCCGCACCCTCAGGTCCTCTGGGAGGAATTTACTGCAACCTATACAAACCAGATTAACGGTAACCTCCCAGAGGACATTTTCTGCTGCCGTTCCCAGATTATGGAAAACCTTGCCAGAAGAGATGTACCAAATAACCAGCTCAGGGGCTAAGCAGACGGGACAAAGCACCATCTTCAGAGCAAGAAAGGGGAGGGGCAGCCACACACTGGGCGCTCCAACCCCTTCCCCAAAATGTCCTTGGAGCAGCTGGCCCTCCGCATGGCCGGGGCTCCGAGGATGCCTTTCTGCTGCAGCGTCCGCACACGCTGCAGCGGAAAAGCCACCGAAGGTGCACCTGCAGCTTTTTGTGGCGCACCTTCGGCAATTTGTGGAAGGAGTGCTATTTTAGCACTCCTTCCAGGGGCAGCAAAGCTGCATCGCGGGGCCAAGGAATGGAGATGCCTCGGCCCCACTCCGCAGCTTCCTGGGGCGGCCCCGTGCCACCCGTCTGCTTCCCAAAGCTGTCAAGATAGATCTCTTCTGGCAGGCTTTCCCCGAATAGATCAATCCAACTGACTCTGTGCTCTCCCCACTTTATACACCCACTATTGTCCCAGAACAATCGTTATTTTTAATACTATGTTCTTATTTTAGTATTATATTTAATTCTTTTAAAAGGGGATGTGTTAATTATTATTATTATG